ATCATTGCTTGATTCAGCTAAGTCTGTTATGGAAACTCGTCCACGTTGCTTTATGAACTTGGCTACATCTTCTAATTCTTTTTGTGAAATATAAATAAATTTTCCCCTGTCATCAATAACTCCGGTTAGTTCGCCTGTAGCCTGTAGATCAGTTATTCTGTCGATTGCAGCTTGAGTTTTCAACTTGAAATGTGCTGCCAAGTCTTCTAGTAAAACAACCTTTTGTGCCTGCAAAACATTTAAAATTCATAAATTACTTATTATTTACTTTGTTTACTGATATTTTCATTAAAAGTAATGAAAATTAATCTAAATGATTAGATGATAAGAAGTTATCGGGGAATTTTTATTATATTTTAAAGCCAAAATGTAGGGTCATGTGGATTTTCATAATTTTTATTTGTTTTTTTTATAGTAACAGGGGTTGCATCGCATTGCGACCAGACTTCATTACGACGAATGGTTGGAGCAAAACAAAATACAGACAAATTGAAGACCTTCTTTTTGAAGTGGGTTAAAAACTGTTATTGCCTCTATTTTCTTTATAAGATACTTTACCTTGATATAATCAATGAAATCTTTCAGCATATTATCTTTATTTTCTTCTTCGTTTTCGTCGTAACCTTCTCCTTCAACAGTAAAAGCTGCCTTCATCGCTTCATATTCTTCTTGTTCGCGTCTCTTACGTTCTTCTTCTGCTTTCCGTTCAGCTTCCTCAGCTTTGCGTTCTTCTTCCTATTTATATTAAAATAATTATATTTGCGACTCACCTACAATCGAATGGTATGCAATACGTAAAAATTTCAAATTTACAAGTCTAAACTAGTGATTGATGCATTGTCAAACATCATTTTAACAGCATGGGTCAGAAATTAACATCCTAGATTGTATCAATAGTACCTATAATGACAAAAGAATCTGTAGTTCATAAACACCAATGATTATGATATTTTTTTATTAATAGACATATGTATTAGTGAATTGAAAATATAGTTATTGCTTTATGCTAGTAAATAGGTAATGTATTCTAGAAAAAATACAAGCATATACAAATATTCTTACTTCTCTCTGCTCTTCCAGTTTTCTTTTTTCTTCTTCATTCTTCTGTTCTTCCATTTTTCTCATTTCCCTCATTTGATCTTCAGCTTCTTTAGCTTTCTTCTTTTCCATTTTAGCTTCTACTTTTGCCCGTTTCTGTAATAAGATTTGAAACAGTTATTAAATAGTATGTTGCAGACTTTTGACATGTATTATATAACTTTACAGCTTTACAGAATATTCACTCATATTTAGCCTACTAAGCCTAGATGTAATTTTATCTACATTTGAACTTACAAATTAACAAATTATAAAAGATTACTTGCAGGAACTAAACCACTTTTATAGATTCACAGTGCTTACTTTAAGGTATAAAATTACCTTAGCCCCCATTTTGTCCACAAACTCTACATTCTGACTACTAGAAGCAGTCTCTTCTTCAACAGCTGCTGCCTCCACTGCAGCTGGTTCCTCTTCAATCAAGGCTGCTTGGTGACGTGCAGCTGGAATAGTATCAATTCCATAAATAACAAATATTTGACTAATGTATAATATTATCACTATATAATATATATAATTATCACAAGGTTCCAAAGAAGTATGTGGCGACATCAAGTCACAGAAATAGTTACATCATTAGAATAAGCAAGTAGACATGGTGTTATTTATGAATGTGTAAATGTGTAGAAAATTTTACTCATTAAATGTAAATAAGTGTGTGTAATAAAGGAAATAAGAATTAAATGTGGCAAACCATTGTGGCAACATCAAGACTTAAAATCTTAAATCTTACCATTAGCTCTCATCCGAGCCCTCTGATTTCTGACAGCCTGGACTCTGCTGGGACCGCCATCGCGTGGCGCAACTGCAGTGGGTTTCGAGACTCGAGCTACAAAAGCAAATTATAAAATTACAATTGTGATCCTTATTTGATATATGGGTATAGTCTCGTTTTTTCAAAACTTACGTTGAGGTCGGTCTTGAAATTTCCGTAAAAACGCTATTGTAAATATAATTAAACTTAAGCCACTAATTATAGCTACAGTCAAAAAAACTGGATCCATTTTCTCTATTTAGCGAAAAATTACGTATGTAATTATAATGTATTAGATATATGTTGTACTAGAAGAGCATGAGGTCAATATTAAATTTGATGCAATGTAAATTGTATTTACATGAATAAAATAAAAAATAAACTAAAACAGATGGTGTTTTTATTGCATTTGTTTTGTCAATGTCAGTGTCAAAAAATAAGTCAAAACGTCATCAACAATTAACATTTTTAATTTGAAGCACAAAGCAGAAGTATTTCGCGCATTATGAAAATAGAACCTTGCGCTTTCAGGTTTTTTAGTTTAATTGAAAACAAAGAAAAATAAAAATTAACATGTTACTTTTAAGCAATGAGTGCTGTCAACGAAAATTCCGAATTAGCCTACAAATTATTAATTTTTGTTTTTTCTAACAAAACCAATAAACATTTTCAAGCGTAAATCGAAACAAACAAAATGTAGCGTAAGATGACGTGTGTCATGTCATATTCTCGATATATTTGTCTGATTTGCCGATGTTAATTTTGTGAATATAAAAACATCATGTTTTACAAATTATCCTCTTTCATAGCACTATTCCTATTAATAGATGTAACATCAGCATTATATTTTCACATAGCCGAGGGTGAAAGAAAATGTTTTATAGAGGAAATCCCCGATGACACTACAGTTATAGGTATAACACATTTATTTTTTTACTGAAAGTAGTTTATTTTTGTAAAGAATTTTTGAATTAACTTTCAAAATAGCAAACAAACTTTTCAAAATAGAAACTGGTAAGAGCAGATAAGAATTCCTTGCAAGGCACTCGAATATGCTTCTAGCAATGTGCCCTATTGTTGAATTTCATTGGAAATGAACAAAAAGAATTTCATTTTAATTTCTTTTTATTTAATAACTATAAAAAATTGTTTTCAGTAAACTACAAAGTGGAGCTCTATGATCCTAGATCAGGAGGTTTCATGCCATCAACACCTGGTATTGGTATGCATGTAGAAGTGAGAGATCCTAATGACAAAATTGTACTCTCACGTGTGTACTCATCGGAGGGAATGTACTCATTTACATCCACCACTCCCGGTGAACATGTAATCTGCATGTATTCTAACAGCACATCATGGTTCAGCGGCTCACAATTGAGAGTAAGTTACAACATTAATACATCCAATAGCTCTGTTATGTTGTGACCTTGTAGTGTAAGTCAGTGGCACAAAAAGTGTTAACATTATTTAAGGCTTAAAAATCATATTTAAATTATTATGGAAGAAAAATGTTTGTCATGGTTGCCTTTATGTATGGTCTTTAATTTTTAACTCTCTCCCTAGCTGGTATATGGTGGTGGGATATTTGTCTTTTGGTAGACTAGTTTCCTAACTTGCCTTTCAGTCGGGCCAAATTGTAACTTTGTTTGAACAACTGTTATATTATTCTTTTAATATAATACACAAATATAAAGCTGTTGTTCATATAACACATTTTAATCTTGAATTCAGAACCACTGGCTTGTCTGTCAAATTCTCTTTCTAAAATGTAGTGGCATGGAATGTGTTAACAATTATTTATATCACAATTCCAGCCAGTAATATCTGTCTATTTAAATCTTTGCAATTCAATTTATTAATATTATTACACAATTGTAGGTGCATTTAGACATTCAAGTGGGCGAGCATGCAGTGGACTATGCAAGTGTCGCAAAGAAGGACAAGTTGTCTGAGCTGCAGCTTAGAATCAGGCAGTTGTTGGACCAGGTGCACCAAATCACTAAAGAGCAGAGCTATCAAAGGGTAAATATATATGCAACTAGCTATTGCCTGCATGAATAAAAAAATTAATAATTAACATTGTGCATATGTGTTCTTCTAGTCTATTTTCTATATGTATGGCAAATTTCATCGAGATCCATTCAGCACTTCTGGAGATACCTTCTAACAATTTTAAAAAGAACCATAAACACTTGACATTGGCCCAATCCGATGAGGGAGAGCCATAAACAAGAAACAGAACAGAGATACCTTCAAACATCCATCCATCCATTTGAACTTTCACATTTATAATATTATAATAGTATGATTATATAAATTATTAAGAAAAGGTTCACTTATTTCTTGAGATTAGATATATCCTATGTACCATGTTATGACCAAGTTTACAAAATTTAGATGTATGGACTGGATTTTTCCGTAACTACATGGCAAGCGCGTATTTTGTGTGTGAGTAAAACACAAACTGACTTCAGCCAGTTTTATTCTCGGAGGAAACCAAACAATATTTTAATGCAGAATTAAAGTTTAGAAGTAATGTGATCATGTTTACTTATAATAAAATAATCAGTTGGGTTAATTGCCTGTATTTTTGGTTTTCTCTATGCTTTACAAGATGTTTGAAAGCCTAGCATAACAAAATACTCAAATCTTACTTGTTAGTGATATTATCTTTGTGGATCGAGACACACTCAGAAGTTTGTACTATATTAGTGTAGAGATATAATGCTGTTTATTTGTTATAGCAAAGAGAAGAGAGATTCAGACAGACATCGGAGAGTACAAACCAGCGTGTGTTATGGTGGAGTTTGCTGCAGACTGGAGTGCTCATCGGTATTGGCTACTGGCAGATGAGGCATCTCAAGAGCTTCTTCGAGGCTAAGAAACTAGTTTAAATATGAGTTGTACTATTTCTTTGTAATATAAATCCTAAATAATAATAAAAAATAATTTAAACAGTAGTTTTGTGTTCTGTTTTTTTTTGTAAATGATCTGTATTTTTCCAATAAATATTACTACAGAATTTTTTTCATTATTTTTTATTTCATACCATTTTTATTTTAAGATTAAAATATATTAAAGATTTTGTTAAAAGCTAAATAACAAACAATATAGTTACGAAAGATATATCATTTTTAACAATATTACATGTTTGGTCCTTCCTTTTGCTAAAAGTTATTTAAAAATTAATCTCCTGTCATGAATATCTTGTATACCTATGAAAATAATTTTTTATATTATATAATTTTTTATTTCCTTTGGATTAGATGTGTTATCAGAGTTCAAGTTTAACAAAAGAGAAGTTATCAATTATATAAGACTTTATTTTCATAGCACCAAAATATATCACAAATTTATCTTATTAGCATTATCTTATTTTACTGGTGTACAACATTTAGAATTATTGTTACTATTTTTAGACATTATTAATTAGAGTCCATTGGCGTGAATGACGTGCTAGCGTTACAAAGTCCAGTGTCAGAATGAATAGTGAGGGGCTACAGTTGGGTCAATACACAGCCACATTTTCGGATTTCCTTCCTAACACTATGAAGTTTGAACTTTAAATACGTCATCTAAAAACTTTACAAACAGTGAGCAGTCAGGTTTCGGTAATGGGATTAGTAAATTGAAGTCAACTGTGCTTAAAGTATTTTCTAAAGTATCACAAGTACAATAGTACAAATGTCCATCCACTTGCAACTGTTCAGCCAATTCTAACTGATGGTTATCCATTAATTCTTCATTTACTACTACCAATAGAGGTTTACAAGCTTCTAACACTTCCAAACAACTTCCAGCACCCGCATGACTTATTACCAAATCGGCGTTAAGAATATCTTCTTGTATGGAGTCTTTAAACCTGTATAAACTTAGTTTGATACCTTCTTTCTCGTATTCTTCTGGATTAACAGCACTGTTTCCTATTTGAAATGTTAATTCTTTGCACCCAATTTCTTTTAGAGCACGAAGTACAGATGCTGATGTTATGTATTTAGCTAGTAAATCAAAACGTGTAGTACCCACTGTTACAAAGCATTTTGGATACTTATTAACCATTTTATGCTTATCAATTAAAATAATAAGAAAAAAATGTTTTAAATTGGACTTTGACAAATGACAAAATGACAATGACAGTTTGAAAATGACAAATGTTTTGATAACAAGTCGACGTTGCATTTCGAACAGCGTGAAGATGGTTGCGATCTCCGCGGCTGTGGCCGATCGTGAATGCTGTTCGTTTGTGATTTGTCCAGGTAAACTATTGGCAAAAAATTCCATCATAACGTACATAACGAATCTTTAAAAGAATGACAAAATATAACACATCGACCCTACTTGAAGTGGGGTAAGGGCTGGGACATCATGATTATCTTAATGTTTTTTTGCGATTGTTAAGATGTTTGTTATAAATAAAGAAAACGACACCTCGTGTACAAAAGTTTTCTCAGGACTTACGATTGTAGCATTAGGTTCCATTGGATGAATTAAAAATAAGGAAATGATTGGGTTGTAATGAATCGTCGAACTTTTCGTAAATGTCGACAATCAGTCTGCATAATTTATTCCACTAACCTTTTAACACACGATTCACTTTGATATAGGATGAGATTTTTTTATTTACTCATTAAGATTTGTTGCTTACAGGGAATGCTTTGACTTAAAGATGCATGAAAATTCAATACAGCGTTGGTTTTAATTGAGGCATAATTGGGACTATCAAATATCTTAGGATGATTAAACTAAGATATAGATTTCACATGCTAAGTTTTTTTTCAGTGTTTGATTAAGGACTTCCTCTCTGATCCTAGGTATAATGCAATGACAATGGTAAAATGGTTTGTATGTCTTATTTAAGCAAATGTCTAATGACTCGAAATTGATGGAAAATAATGGTTTACCAAGAAAAGAACACGCTGTATAACTTACTGATAAGTTTAGGTCCTCACGCTAACCCTTGTAACATTTACTACATGCTTTGTAATATGAATTGTTAGGATGGTCACGCGGCCACCTGACTCGCACAGTTTTAATTAGATTTTAAATAATAACTGCTATTGATTGAATATCGGAAATTATTATACGAATTATGATCAGCACGTCATTTTTGGAGGGAGCCTTACATGAAGTGCATGTAAGGTCGCAATATGAAGATATGGGTATTGGTTATATTATATTTTTGGGGTCGAGGAAGTGCAGAAGACTTTCCATCGTTGATTACAGCGAATGCTTCAATTGGTAAGTAGGTTAAGTTTTAATGGTATAAATTTGTATATATTCATTTTAATTTATTTTAATTCAGCCGTAGTCCTGGACAGACAATTCCTAGGAGAGCAATATCAGTCAATGCTGGAACAACTAAAAGATTACATCAAGGAATTGGTGCGGGTTGATCTGAAACATGGCGGTGTGATCGTCCATTATTATTCTTGGACTTCAATCAGTCTGAAAAAAGGTTTGATAATAATATGTTTTATGAAAAAAAAACTATCTAAAACATCGAGGTTCTTCAAAGAATTTCCAAACTGTCCCCACCCCATTCCCACTGTCCATCACTACCAAAAAAACAAGATATAAAACAGGATGTCCATGCGCGTTGTATCATTTCTTAATTTAGGCACTTAAATTGAATTTCGCAGGCTTTATAGCGGTCTTCAGTGTGGCATCTTGCGAGGACACGTGGTCTTTATTCTCGAGAACCGAAGAGGAGGAGTTGCTTCTATTCGCACTGACAGAAGTTGACTGTCCTCGGCTGCCAGTGGACAGAGCGCTAACGGTTACTTACACGGTGCCGGGGCAAGAGTTGGCACAACTGATGTTGGATTTGAGGACGACGAAAGAGATTAACTGGAAATCCGCCATCATACTACATGATGCTACGTTAAGTATGTCTTTGAACAACTGTTTTAAATTTATAAACAATATAAGCGGCATCAAATTTAACGTCAAAAGACTACCTGCTAGAACTGCATAAAGAGAATGATTAAGGAAATAGATAGACTTTTAGATTTTATCCGGTAAGAGGAGCTAGAGCTTAAACTCTAAAAAGGTAAGGAGACATACAAAATGTGATTTCTCATTAGTAGAACGATTGCTGCATCTTCATGGTAACTTCTGTGCGTTATAAAAGGAAGGATCTTCATATATAATATAAAGTCATAGACCTAATTGTAACTTGACAGACAGGGACACAATATCGCGTGTTGTCCAGTCACTGACGCGGCAAATTGACGACGAGAAGGTGTCTTCAGTATCAGTGTCTGTGTACAAGATGAATCACGAAGTTAATGAATATTTAAGGAAGAAAGAAATTCATCGAGTGTTGTCCAAATTGCCAGTTAAAAAAATTGGTACGTGTTTGTTATTTAAATGTAAATAAATATTACAAACGCAATTAAATATCTTTTGATGTTTTTTCAGACAACACAAAATACGTTTCTCTGGTTGTTAATAAGATATACAATCATCTTTTAAATTAAATTACGACTTTGTTATATGAAGAACCGTTGGTTTCTGAGACCAGAATCTCTGAATAAAACATAACATCAACCCTGTCATTAACAAAGTAGAACAATAGACTTTAAACGGAAACTAAGGTCTCAGAAACCCACGGTAAAGAGCGTCGGAGTCGGAGGCTTGTAAGATGAGTGTTAAAACAATCAATCCAGCGTAGTTGACTACTCACCCCATTGTATAAAGAAGATATGTATATATACATATGTAGTAATAGACTATTGTAAAATTTTGATTTTGTATAACAGGTGAGAACTTCATAGCAGTGGTGACTTTAGAGGTTATGTTGGCTATAGCCGACACAGCGCGCGAGCTGGCACTATCGCACGGGCAAGCGCAGTGGCTGTACGTGGTGGCAGACACAAGCGCGCGCAGTGGCGACCTCACCGCGGCTATTGATATATTATATGAAGGAGAAAATGTTGCTTATATTTACAATGTCACTGATAATAGTACGGATTGTAAGGTATTATTAATATTTATGATGAGTTTTTGACAGAATACGAAAGTAATTTTTCTTTAGAATGTTCCTAAAATAACAAATTACGCTAAGAGAGATTAGGTACGGCAGATTCTTATTTTAGAATGGCTTGATGTGTTATTGTCGGGAGATGATGAAGGCTTTCATATCTGCATTGGACTCGGCGGTGCAAGACGAGTTCGATATAGCAGCTCAAGTGTCGGACGAGGAGTGGGAAGCGATTAGACCAACGAAATTGCAACGGAGAAACGATCTTTTGAAACATATACAGGTAATTTGAAACAGTGGGACAAGAATCAATGAATGAAGGAACGAACAAAGGAAGATCGAATGTCGACTGAATGAATGAATTTATTGTAGCAACATATGCAAGTGAACAGCAAATGTGGTAATTGCACCAGTTGGCGGGCAACGGCGGCAGATACCTGGGGCGCCACCTATCGGCAAGTAGACACCGCGACAACTAACGCTAACAATACCAAGGGAGTTATAGAAGAAGTTAAAATGTTACAAGTGAGTTACAAAAACCAATAGAATTTGACGAATACTATATTTTAAAAAGGAAGCTTCACCTTCTTCCGATTTCGTCCGACTTCTTTCGATTTTTAAAGGTTGGTACCTGGCGGCCGGCAGATGGCGTGAGGTTCAATGATGTTCTGTTCCCTCATGTCGCGCATGGCTTCCGAGGGAAGGAGTTGCCTATAATTACCTATCACGTAAGAAACAATACTTTTAACCAAAATACTTCGTAGAAATATTTTATGGGGGAATTTATGGATGGATGTGTGTTACCTCGTAACTCCAGAATAGTCAAACGGAGCTAGATAAAAGCTACTCTATAATTCTGTAGGTCTACTGTAGCTTGTTCTATTGAAGTATGAACTTTCTTCTTATGCTCTCATTTAAGTATAGACTGCATAACTTGAAATGAAATATTCTCTTCAGAACCCTCCATGGACGATTCTGCAGACGAACGAATCAGGGGCTATCATCAACTACGGCGGCCTTATTTTTGATATCGTCAAACAGCTCGCACGGAATAAGAACTTTACGTAAATATAAACATTATAAAAACCATTTAATTATGATGATTTTTTTGGTATAATATCCTTTTTGTTATAGAATCCGGCTATTACTGGCGAATAATTTTAAAAAGAACTATTATAACAGCACGACTATAGACGTATGTATAACAAATCTTTTAACCTTAATGTGGTGAACAGAATTATTGTCATTTATATCAAAATTCTTAGATCACAATGCATAATTTGTAGAAGATTCACAGCCAAAATGGCATGTTAGCAATATCAGCGGTTGCTAAGGGGCAAGCGGCGTTGGGCGCGGCCGCGTTCACTATACTGCCGGACGTGACGTCAGGTAAAATATACTTCGTAACAGTTTTATTAAACTTCAGTGTATCTTGTATCCATTCCAAAAGCGATCTTATAACTTTATTAGTTCAATGATTTTATATCCTAGGTATAAACTACACGTTAGCAGTGAGTACACAGCCTTATGCGTTCCTAATCGCTCGTCCTCGGGAACTCAGCCGAGCTATGCTCTTCCTGCTGCCTTTTACTGCTGACGTGAGTAGTATAAAGCTGTAACAAATAAATAAATAAAATAATGGTCATTTCTTAAATTTGAAACTCTTTGAATTTTTTCCTTACCAAAGGTTCAGTCTTTTTATCTACAAGGTCACAATGAAATTGACAAATATACATACGCGCAAAACACATTGTCGTGTCGCGTTGAGTTTAAAACTGTCTACAGATCCTTGTTATAGAAATAATTTTTGGACTTTTTAAATTTATTTTGGTGAAAAATCCTTTAGTGTTAATTTTAAGTAATTATTAAAATAGATTAATAATATGTTTTTTCCAGACGTGGTTATGTTTAGGGTTCGCAGTAGTTCTTATGGGGCCCACATTATACGTGGTTCATCGTCTTAGTCCTTATTATGAAGCTATGAAGATAACGCGACAAGGAGGTTTGTCTACGATCCACAATTGTCTATGGTATATTTATGGAGCATTGTTGCAACAAGGTTAGTACGAGAACAGAACAGAAGGAAGAGTAAATTTTACTTAATTTTGGCGTTGGATCGAAATGAGAAATAAAATATTTAAATTTTTAGACTCCTTTCTGTCACAGAATATATATCGATGCTATCGACTAAAAATAGTTACAAGAATTTCATTTTAAATTTCAGGTGGTATGTATCTCCCTCGAGCGGATAGTGGTCGTTTAGTTGTTGGAACTTGGTGGTTAGTTGTGTTAGTGGTCGTGACTACTTATTCGGGAAACCTGGTCGCTTTCCTCACATTTCCTAAGCAGGAGGTACCTGTTACAACGGTGGCTGAACTGCTGGAAAATAAAGAAGTTTATACGTGGTCGATTAAAAAGGGAACTTATTTAGAAATGGAATTAAAGGTTAGTGTTGAAATGTGGTAAATTAGTTTTGATTTTTGGCGATAGATGGCGTTTTTCCATTATTTTTTTTAAATGTGTATTTGTGTAAAATTTCTCAGAATTCAGATGAACCCAAATATATTTCTTTACTCAAAGGCGCGGAATTATTGACGTCCGTTGCCAGTGTCGAAGGAAATCATCGTTCAGGTACAAAATCGGTTTTCAAGGCACTTTACTTAATAGCATTTAGTTGCTGTGCGGAGTCAAATGATAAGATGCTAAGGATTTTTTTGTTTTTAAACATTCAGTGCTACAGTGCATTAACATAAAATTATATTGACATTAAACGAGTTCTCTTATTCTTTTGCAGTTTTAGATAAATCGACATTGAATCGAGTTCGTAAACAAAGACATGTGATAATAGACTGGAAGATGAGACTGAGTTATGTAATGCGAGTCGCCACCCTCGCCACTGATAGATGCGATTTTACAATTAGTAAGTTGATATTTCTTATATTCTGAGCCAAATCAAGTCAAAAAGTGTACAACTCTTGGATTTGCCGGAACTTTTATACAAAAATATAATATGCCTCTCATTGTCTTTAAAAAACTATAATGTCAGTGAAAGTTATTACGATAAATTATAACCTAAAAATAAAAATTTTAATGTTTTTGATTTGTTCTATTGAGTACCCGTCAAGAAAATATGTATTCCAGCCTTTTTTTATCGTTCTCAGGTGCGGAGGAATTTATGGACGAAAAAGTGGCAATGATTGTTCCAGCTGGTAGTCCTTACCTTCCTGTCATTAACAAGGAGTGAGTGTAGACCAGTCTTTCAGAAAGTGGGCGATAACGCCCTCTTGTGGGCGCTGCAGGTCTCAAGGGGGGCGGTACGAGACCCAGAATGAAAATGGTGGCGTTGTGTAGAGTCCTGGGGGGTGATTTGTAATTTTATTTAGCTAGGAGGCCTTAGACAACGACTGCATGAGCTCTCGACTCTCAACAACAACTTGTGAACATCAACTAATATGAATTAAAAGATTGCTTAAACTCCAATATGGGGACGCTAAAAAAATATTTATTCTCAAAGTGGGCAGTATACAAAATAAGTTTGGGAACCACTGGTGTAGACTATGGTTGTTAAGTTTACAAATTCTACCACCATGGCGCTACTGTAGATTACCGTAATGTTTGACACTAGGCATTTAGAGTTCCAATTTTGTTAATTTATCTTCATGAGTTGCAGGAGTTATTTTAATAATGTATGTTGTAGGATATACCGTATGCATAAAGCAGGTCTAATAACCAAATGGTTAAGTAACTATTTACCGAAACGTGATCGTTGCTGGAAGACCACGATGGCATCACAAGAGATCGACAATCACACTGTTAATTTAAGAGACATGCAGGGATCATTCTTTGTGTTATTTCTAGGTAATATTATTCATTTATTGCTTTGGAAATGTAGTAATTGATTTACTTATGTGTTTTATATGTATGTAGAGACAAAACTTATTTATTTTGTTTTAACTTAAAAAACTACTGAGGAATAAAATAATTTTTACAATCGGTTCAGTAGTTTTTTAGTTTACCAGAAACAAATCTTTTTTAAATATCAGTCTAGTGTTGGAAATATTTTAATAATAATAAATTAAAATAATCTGTTTCTTTCAGGGTTTTTCTTAGCTTTTATAGTACTCTTAATGGAGTGGATGTATAGGACGAAGAAGAACAGGAACGAAAATATTATCATCAAGCCCTACACTGAATAAAATATATTTTTTACATAATTGATCATTAATGTACAATTGTGAGTGTTATTTTCCTGCGTTGGATAAATGCTTGTCATCCATTTTTGTTTTCTTAAGGAAATATTATTTTTATCTCGATTAATTCAGTATAAAAATAAGTTAAATATTTATTTAAGGGTTTGTAATCTTTGCAATTCGTTAACATAATAATAAAAATTATTTATAATATTTAAAAGTGTAATCGTAAAACAATCCTTGTACTTACAAATCTTTATATATATATAATTCTTCTGTGCGTGTGTATGTCACTGAACTTCTTTCAAACGACTGGACCGATTTTGGTGAAATTTTTTGTGTGTGTTCAAGGGGATCTGGGTATGGTTTAGATTCACAATTTTCATCAAATATTAACTTCATATTAATTTATTCAAATTAAACACGTGTAGACAGGACAACGTCTGTCGGGTCCGCTAGTTTATTATAAAAAGAACTGTTTTTTGTATGAAACTATTTTTTTTGTACATTTGCAAAAAAGATTAAAACGTACGCAATTGTAAGTACATTTTTTGCAATTAAGTTTTTTTTGTAATTCAAATGTACGAAGGTAAACGTTAAATTCCTATAAAAACCTATCTTGTAATTTTTGCAATGTCATTCGATTTCGACTCATGCTTTGAACTTGAAACTACGAAACATAGTAATACGAATTGTCAAGTACGAGTTCTTCTACTTAAGTATATTAAATAAAAAATCTAATGATTATCACGAATCGAATATTCTTGGACTTTATCCACATTTTACATATATAAGAATTAAATTAAAAAAACACACTTCTTGGGTTTCCTTTACACACCCATTTTTAAGTTTGGTTTAAAACGCTTTTCACTTTGGCCATACGTAGATCACTTTGATTCACCATAATTTGGTGTTATAGATCCTTAGATTAACTTTGAATAATTTAAAGAAACTAATTAGCTAGCAGTCTACACGTTAAGTGACATCATCAAATACGTAACAAAAGTGACAGTTGCTTTATCTTTATGTTAGGTAAAAAAAAGCAAGCAATAGAGTTCAAGATTATTTAGCCCGGAATACACACACACACACACTCTCTCTCTTTCTCTTTCTCTCTCTCTTTCTCTCTCTCTCTCTCTCTCTGCCGAGTTTGCATCCCACAAGATCAGCTTTGCCAATCCGTCTCTTCCACTTTGTTCTGCCCACGACATCTTTTAAGATTTGGCCTGGAATACACTAATGTGAAACAGCAATATCTTAACGTTCCCGCTAGTTATCTTTCATTCTGATAGTTTTAACTACAAATTTCTGCATAAAATCCAAGGCCGCGCCCTTTGCATTGCAATTGTATATACATAACTAGTGTAACAAGAATGCAAATATGTCTATGACGATGGTTATAGATAATACGATGTTGAATGATATTAAATATAATGTTTTCCTGTTGTCCGATACACAAACGGCACGTGGGCATAGACTACGTGACATGGAGCATGTGAATGTATCCGAACAGAACATATAATGCTAGGCCCAGCACGAATGTTTGTGACAGGCGCCATCGTATCGACATCGACAAAATTTATATTGAAATTTGTACAACCCTATCGGACATAATTGACGATAACGAGACAAAGTTGATTGTCACAAATATTCGTAATAAGCCCTGAACTGATTTGAAAATAGTTCCGTAGTCCTTGTTTTGCATAATATTTACATTTTAAAAATTATATTTTCAAAATTTTTTCTAAAAACATTTTTGGTAAATCAAATGAGAAGTATCTCATTGTAAATTCTCTTTAACTTGAAACCTTCCGAACAAAGTGGTATCAGATAATTTCAGATTATAAAACAAGTATAACAGTCGTACCCAGAGATGTTATGTGGTCTCTTGGTATGAGAAAGAGACACTAAGACTCTCTTTGTACCGAAAAATTATTCAGAATTAGTACGGTAGTAAGACATTCAAATTAAAGCCTCGTAGTACGTTGATAACAGAACAAGGGTTTTGTAGTCTTTAGGGTTATTGAACGAATAACAATGAGGAAATTTACTATCAAGAAGACAATGTAATTACTACTCAATAAATTTTCTTCATGACCTTGTTTATTTTTATTGTTCCCTTAAACATTAAAAGTTACTTGTAATAAGTAATTGTTGCGTAAATTGTATTTCTGAAACGATATCAGCCCAGAGGGGTTAAACAAAGTGAAAGAAAGAACGAACTTCAAAAATGTAAAGAACTGACAACTATCGATAAGTGACGTGATTGTCGCGCGTCAATTCCATACAATTTTGAAGATCGCTATGAATCGCTTCTAAGCGAATGCATTTTGCCTAACCCCTCAAGTAGGATAAAAATCGATAGATTACTAGCTATCGCCCGCGACTCCGTCCGCGCGGGATTTAAAATAGATGTTGGCCGATTCTCAGACCAACTCAATATGCTCACAAAATTTCATGAGAATCAGTCAAGCTCTTTCGGAGGAGTATGGGAACGTAAATTGTGACACGAGAATCTTATATATAAGATTTATTTTTAAATTGCTTTGTATATAAGAGGAACAACAGAAATGAGACAATCGCTCTTTTAAGTATAGTTTAGAGTTTTTATTGCTACTGAGATTATATAGTTTTTATCCCTTATGTTCATTTTGTATAGTATACCATACATACAACTTTATAAAAATATACGATCACTATAAAATAATTTTTAACTTTGTTTTTTCTTCAAAAAAGAAATATTGCCACAATAAGGGTTAATGTATTAAAAGTGTTAATAAAAATATCTTAGATAGTAAAATGTAGATCTAGATCGAATGTTTTATATTGTATTAGTTTTTAATTAGATATAGAAATTATTGTAATTCGATTTTTAAAATTGAAGTGTAACAAAGTTTTTGGCCACGACAGGGAAGAATGAGAGTGCAGCACAGAGTCGCACATAAAAAAAAATCATTTAAAAAAAAACTTTTATTAATGAAATCAAAATAAAAACAATTATAATTCGATCTTAAGGTTGATGTGGAAGGTTATAAAAAAATTAAAGTATGGTTACAGATTTAAAAAATCCCATGAATAAAACTCTAGCCAAAAGGTGAAATGTGATGTTGATTTTGGAGGAAAAATCCGTCGTAATAGAATTAATTATTATGTCGTCGACGTACGTATGTATATCCAAACACGTTACCGGCCAGTTCCGATGTGGTACATAAATGCAAGCCTCGCCCAGCCGGTGGCAGTTTCAATTCGGCGCGCGCACAAATCGGCCGCTAAATTCTGAACATTTTCGGAGTGTTATTTTTGAAATTTTTCCTATAGAAATTATTGGGTGTCAATGACAAAATCGAAGAGAAAATTCGCGATCACCGACAAATTTTTACCCAGGTTAGTTGAACTTTTTATACAGTAAAGTAGTAGTATCATGTGATAGGTTTGTGCTCGTCGGACCAGTTTTCACTAAAGCACATTGCACTTTTAACTCTTTTGTTTATGGTTGGTTCATATTTCATTTAAATATATTTTAAATAGACTTTAAATGCTAATAGTTTTATCTAAACTTTACCTTAAAAAGAATTTCATAAATACTTATAAAAAACTTAAAAAAATGGTACTCGAGAAACTCCTTAGAAGGTCAAATATTAAAGGATAAAGATTTAATAATTTTGGACTGATTAGATTGTATCCCTAATGATGATGGATTGATTGAGATGGATGTAAGGTGACATGATCAAGAAAGATGTAAGGAATGAAATGGCGGAAGACAAATTGTTTTGGAGGACGAAAACTGGTGCGACGACCCTACTTTAGTTGAGATAAAGAAAAAGAGATGATGGTGACATTAGAATTCTGAATGATTTCTTATTCATATAAATAGTAAAGGTAAGGGTTTCTACGCATGTAAAAACAAATGATAAAGCGATAGAGAACACAAGAAATAAGACGATGAAAGCCAAATAGAGATGGATTCAATTACTCTTGATTCACCATCACTAATTAATAAGCCCGCGAAATCAGAGCAAAATTGGGGCCATGGCAACCCTCTGTGGGAGGAGTATGACTTCTTTCAGGTGAGAGACTTTCCCTCTCTCTTACTTTTGCAGAGAGGAGGTCTCTCGTCTCGGAATGTTTTAAGAAAACGCTAACGTAAAAGCTGTTAGCTAATTAGCTATGTTACTATTTTTATCAACTAGATCCCTCGTAGTTATTGAGCACTATAATTACATTGCAATGGCTGTTTTCATTTCTTAATAATCTGATTTATCAACCCTGGAAAGGATTATGTATCATATCTGTATACCGTATTATAAGTAGCTATTTTAACAGTTTACCTTTACCTGTTTATCCTGTGTTTGCTTATTCTTATTCGGAATTTCTGGTATTCGTTTTTTGGGATTTACGGCTATAAATTCAGTTAATTTGGAGTATTGAATGTAAAAGAAATTATATTTAAGCGTGTCTGGAAAGGGTTCTGTTGCTGACGCAAAAACAGTTTCGAAAGATAAAAAAACATAAACAAGTAATTTATATTTGTTTTTTTAGGGAATGGAAACAGTCTTGATCGATATTACATAATATCTGTTTTTATTAATGCAGCTTTTTAATACGAAGGTTCTTTACTATACAATCTCAAGCTAAAGATAATCTTCAAAATAATGAAAAGTAAAGTTAAACCAAGGACGCGGGGAATTCTAGGTTTTTTAATGGAAATATGAAGCAAATAATTCCCAATGTATATTGCCAATTTTCCAAAGCTCAGTATAGCCTAAACAGATGTTATTAAATATGATCACTGGAATCCTTTAGCACTTAAAATTCAACTTAGCTAATTCGACTAGCTGTTGAAGTACAAGAGAGAATTCTTTCTTTGAACTAAAAGTTGCGTGGATACTTTCGTCTTAAAAACTTCCCACGTGTGTAGAAAGCGATCAATACGTTCGTTTAAGATGAAGTTTCGTTCTCGGTTAGTGACGTAGATGTTGGTAATGGAACTGGTTATTGGATGTTTACAACGGAATATGCTAAAACTGTTTTCTAGGTGAACTGGAGTGAACACGCGAGTCGCGCGTGGCCGCCGACCGGTCAA